AGTTCAACACTGTGGTTATACTGGCGAACTCCGGTGCACAACACCACGTGTCTGCGGCATCGGGAACGCGACAGCCTGGTTAATTGAAACTATATTTTTCTAAATAGATGTCTAATGACAATCAGAGTCATGTAGATAAAGACTTGTCGAAAAAAGCTTCACAGCTACAATTGGATAGTGATTTAGAAAGTGTAAACAGTTCTGTGCTAAATGATGTTGGAGATAGCAACTCAGAGTGCAGTAGAGATAAAGAGCAGGAAGAACTTAGACAGATGGAAATGGAACTTAAAGAAAGGGAGAGGAGAAGGCTGAAAGAAATTATTTCTTATTGGACTACGAAACGCAAGACATTGTGGACAAGAGACGTGAAATATTTAAAGCTATGTTGGAATATACAAGAGCAGTAGTTACAAAGGAACTTTCAGACGAGCAGGATGGCTAGGAATGCAGTAGATAGGCAGCATTACATTGCCGACAATCCCAAAGTATCTGTGTTGGAGATTGAGAGTATTTTGGACATCATGTCGTTTGGCGACGAAGATTCCATGAGAAGAATGATGCGTCTCGCTCGCACTTATATGAAACCGCATAATTTTGATAAAGAGGTTCATGATTCCAAGGAGATGTATGCCAGCCCAAAATTTGAATTCGACGAGTCATTTCATTGGCACAGAAACGAAATTATGAAATCGATTTATAATTACGTGGAACATATATTTGACAGTCACGATTGGGATAAAGAATCTGAACTTTCCGAGTACACTATCAGTTTGCGAATGAATTTAGTGATTATTCCTTACTCACTCTCCCAACTGCTCAAACGTTTCCCAATGTTTGAACATGTATAGCTGCATGTGTCCTCCTATGCTGTTAGGCTATGCATTCACTTCTCTCACTGTGTTGTCAAATAATTTATCGCTGAAGTCCAGAATCTATACTTGCTGGCTGGGTCTTTCATCTCGAAATCTGGAAATTTCTTTTCAAACGCGGCTTGAAGTTAATGATGGCACTGATTAGGTTGGGGAGGATCACCACGAGAAGGAATAGGATGAGACTAAGGTGAAGAAGAAGAAACGCAAGAGAGTAAGAGAGACAAGACAAGAGAAAGAAACACAAGGGAAGAAAGATGGACTTTTTTATATATGTAGTTGAAATTTTATTTTTCTTTGGTAAAAACCGTGTTAAGCTGTTTTTATTTGACATTATTTTTGTATATGTTTTGTAACAATTAAAAAAAATTGTTGATTTATTTGACTCATTTGACTGTCAGAGTTACAACGGTGTCTCCTACATTTGTAAAGTTAAATGTTAAATTCCTTTTGGGAAAATTCGGTAAACAGACCAACAAATCGCAAACCTGCCAAATAACCGAAGCCCCTGATTTGTTGGAGATGCTCGATGATCCTTTATTAAATGTACAAGACATTCGAATCTTATCCCCTGAAATTGTCAAAGTGGTGTACAAGCGAGATGCTTCTGATCCTGTCTAAGGCATGACGTCTAACATTTTCATTGCAGCCTTTACGACAGCCATGGCCAGGTTGAAAGTCTACACGTCACTGGAAACAGTGCAACAGCAAGTGCTTTGTCGTGTACCGATGGAAACCCAAAGATCCTAAATCCCATTTGGTGACCACTTAGGTGACATGACAAATGAGCTGGAGGAGGGGGTGCTATCGAGATGGCCATCTCAATAGCTTAAAATACACAAAATGAAAAACCTTTGTGTATTTTAAAACTGATATTCATAGATGAAATATCAATGGTTGGTAAGATTATGTCCACAGTACAAATATATAATAGACTTAAAGATATCAAAGGCAGTTCACTACCATTTGGTGGTGTCAGTATAGTTCGTATTCGGGATTTATTCCAACTGATCCAAACACGGGTTTGTCCCTGGTTAAAAAAGGGTGGTTTCCTTACAGGCTCAACAGTTGGCAGACATGGTGTGACATACTGCCCGGGCCACCTCGCAGAGAGGACCTTGACACCCAATTCATGAACGCCAAGACGAAAGCTGCTTTCGATGCCTGGTACGACGAGACTTTTGTGCAACCCGAGAAGGATGATCATGAGTATTACTCAAATGTTGACCACTGGTACGATGTGTTTGAAGAGAACAAAAGGTACTGTCGGAATGACGTATTTCTCTTGCACAAGTGCTTTAACCCTTTGGTGACGGACCTCGTAAATATCGAAACCCGAGGAACGATGACGTTTTCGTCTCTAGAACAATGGTTTTTTGCGTTACCTAACCAATTTTTCGCTAAAAATAGTCACTGAATGTAGCCAATCAAATGAAAAGCATTTTGCCACCCATATACCTGATTGGTTAGTCGAAATTCACCTTGAGGAAAAGTGGCGTGACACGAAAGGGCATTTTCAAAATGGCGTCTTCAAGCAAGCGACCGCGTGTGTGTTTCACGGCTGAAGAAGTAGCTGAAATTTGTGCTCGAGGCGATAGTGACCCTGAAAGTGATATTGATAGTCAGACTGGGGGAATTTCCAGCGGAGAAGAGTACGAATTAAACCAAGAAATCGAAGGAAACAGTGATTCAGAGGAAGAGTTGAGGTAAGGGATTGTGTAAACAACATGATGAAATGCACGCGTGTTGGAATTTAGTCACTATTTTGCCCATTTTGTACTTTCTTTCGCCCTCTTTACATGAAAAATACATTTCCATGACTTTTTCTAAAGTAGAAGTAAAGAAATAGAAGGATTTTACGCTGTTTTAACCATTTTTTCTAACATTTTTTACTACCATTGAATCAGATGATTTCTTTCCCGCAATGTGTAATGCGAGATGCCAAACATGTGTTTGCGAGAAAATACTCAAAAAGATATTTCTTGGTTATTTGGCCATTATTTTCCCTTCTTTTGCTGTAATATAATGTATATCTTACCTTTTCTTTTTTGAGAACCCTTTTGTAAGCGATTTTTATGGAGTGAGGATGTTTTATTTACACTAAACATTCTTTGTACTCGTTTCATTTGCAATATTATAACAATGAACACAGTGTGTTGCATAAATAGCGGGAAATTTTCTGCATGAGTTATTCATTGAATTCCAGGCTTTTACTTTGCTGGAAGTAGTATACAAACAACTGTTTTATTGAATACTTAGGCAAAATACCCTGTATAAAATGGTCTTGAGAAAGTCAGCTTTTATTAGATTTATTTATCATCAGGGAAATCTTACCTTTCCGTGACCTTTGATCAGATAACATGACAACATGTGAAGTGAAAGTTTTTTGTTTCTTGAGCCCTTCAGAATTAGTTTAGAACTGGTTCATTCAAATAAACAGAATCCAGTTTATGCTGGTAATGCAGTTTTTGCCTTGATCAAGTTTATAAAAATTCAGAAGATAAATATATTTCTATATTTTTGCAGCATCTCGGATTCAACTGACAATGTTGAAATTTCTGGGAATGACTTCAATGATCAGTCTGAAGATGAGGTAACTAATCCTGATCCTCCTCCAGAGCAACCAGCAAGACCAAGAGGAAGAGCAAGAGGTAGGGGACAACGCCGACAGAGGCCAGGAAGAGGTAGGGGTAGGGGTAGGGGTAGGGGTAGAGGTAGGGGTGCCCTCCCACCGCCCCCTCCTGGAGGAGCTGCAGCTGCTCCTAGGGAAAAAAGTTATGATGATCCTGATACACCAAACCAGATCCCGCCTTTTAACCCCAGACGGCAACCTGGATTGCATCTGAATTTGCCAGTTCTAAGAGGTGCAATGACCAGGGCTGTTGATTTTTTCAAGCTTTTCTTCACAGCAGAGCTTGTTAGAAACATCAGCACCCATACAAATAGCTATGCGTGGGGGGCTATTGGTAACAAATCCTACTATGGTGACAAGGATGGTGCCTGGATTGAAACTTCTCCTCAAGAAATAGAAAAATTGATTGCCCTTATTTTGTATTGTGGCCTGGTAACTGTTAGTTCATTCCATCGGTATTGGAGCACAAAGACTTTGTACCATGGGTTGTGGGCACGAAGTATAATGTCACGAGACCGATTCAAGGCTCTGATGGCAATGCTCCATATTGTTGACCCCGATGATGAAGATGAGGAAGACAAACTAAGAAAGGTTAGTAGCTTCTTGGAATTTTTCAAGGATAAATGTAAAGCTTTGTACCAACCCTTTCAACGTGTTGCTGTTGACGAGAGAATGGTGAAATCAAAACATCGGTCTGGAATTCGTCAGTACATAAAAAATAAACCAACGAAGTGGGGAATAAAGCTGTGGGTGTTGGCAGATAGTTTGAATCGTTACACCTGTGACTTTGATGTGTACATTGGGAGACATGCAGGACATGAGGTAAGCGAAAATGGGTTAGGATATGATGTGGTTATGAGACTTGTCACCCCTTTGATGAACCAGGGATATCATTTATACTTTGACAACTTTTATACATCTGTAAAGCTTGTAAAAGATTTGTTTCGAGTTTTGATTCCAGCCACAGGTACAGCTGCTGAAAACAGAAGGGGCTTTCCTGAGTCAATGAAAAAAGGACAGGAATGGGCACGACGTAAAGACAGGGGAAGCATGAGATGGGTGAGAGATGGAGTTTGCCTGGCTCAACAATGGAAGGACAACCGACCAGTAACAATTCTGACTTCAATTGCAAATGCAAATGATTTTGTAATGGTTTCTAGAAAAGAAAAAGTAGGCAATGTTTGGAGAGAACTTGATGTAAAGCAGCCTAAGGCAATTGACCAGTATAATAACTACATGAATGCAGTAGATCGGTCTGATCAAATTCTTGCAAAGAACTGTGCTCTAAGAAAGTGTATGAGGTGGTGGAAGACATTATTTTTCCACATGATTGACATAGCTATTGTCAACAGTTTTATCTTGTTTCAACTTCATCGAGCAGAACACCCTGATGAAGAAGCACTCAAGCGCCCTAAAAAATTCGCAATTGCTGAGTATCGTGAGGAACTTGTGAGACAGCTAGCAGGCTTGGAAGAATATGGTCCTCCTCCAGTGTTCAAACCCCCAAAAAGGGATCCTGGAGAGTATGAAACAGCTCACATTATAAAGTTTTCTGACAAAAAGAGAAACTGCAAAGTTTGCTATGCAGCTACAAAGAAGGAGCTGAAAGTCAAGTCTTACTGTGATGCACCTCAATGCCAAGTTTTTCTGCACTGCTTACCAGATAAAAACTGCTTTGAAATATGGCACAGCAGGAACTATCATCTCAATCATTGACTTTATTATGACATTTCTGTTTGATTTAACTGTATTTTCGTTAGGTTAAGGCCCCTTGTGACCCCAAAGGTAGCGTCATAGCACTGGTTGGGGTTACACGATCCCCGTTTTCCACCAGGTGGTTTTTAGGGGTTTGCGTGTCCGGCTGTGATGCATGCAGATTTATTATTTTGTTAATGGCTGTCATTTTTGCATGGAAATCATTTTGAATGAGTGATTTTTAATTTTTGTTTAATTTGAATGCTCAATATGCACTTGTATAAGTCACATGCTTATGTATATAGTTAACCCAAAAAAGGCCTCAAGAGGGCACCCGAAAGATGTAACCATAACTTTTTAAATTCTTATTCAATTTCAATCAAATTTTCAGGAAAGATGCATTATATAATAGGGAAAAACTTTTCTTTTAACAGTTTTTAATGTGATATAAAGGAAGAAAGTTATTGAGTATTTACTCCAAAAATTTGTGTTGCGTGACAAAAATATTTGCATAAATTAGCATAAATTAATTAATTAAAAGTAATAATGAACAATTAACAACACTGTCTTGAAGTCCATTTATTTAGCTTTAAAATGACATATAGTAGGACAAAATTGGTTGAATGTAACTGGAGCTAGCCTTTCTTAACTAAAAGGGGTCAAAAATGGTCATTTTTAGGGCAGTCACCAACGAGTTAAGGAGTTTGCACGATCCATGCACGCCATGAATGGGATATGGCCAGGCGTTGACAACCTTACCATTGCCAGTTATTGTATTAAAGTGTGGCGTCTTCATCATCTCAAACCTGACACTATTGGATTAGTTCCGCCTATGGGGTACTTGCAGAGAGACGTGGCGTCGAAAGTGGCTCGAACGTGGCTCGTGTACATGGAAGCCTGCATGCCGCCCCAAGACGCTGAAAATTTTACATATGTCGGCAAGAACAAAGGGGAGTTCAGGGTTCCCATACCGCACACGCGTTACAAAGCGGATGGTTATCTGCCCAGGACACGTACGGTGTACGAATTCTATGGATGTGTATGGCACGGTTGTCCCGATTGTTTTAGCCCCAAAGCCAAGTGTTTGAGAGTGGGTCAGACCTTTGCCACCCTTTATTCGCGTACCTTGCAGAGAGAAGGCGTACTCAAAGACAACGGTTTTAATATTGTCTCCATGTGGGAGTGCGAATGGCGCAGTCGATTGAGAGGTGCTGGACAACTGCGCGACATGTACGACTTCTTAGTCGGAGAAGAAGTGGATGCCCTCATCAAAGAACCTCACAACCCCAGAGAGGGACTGTATGGGGGTCGTGTCGATTGCAATCAGTTGCTGTGGCGCGCCATGCCATGTTCGCCTGATGGGTTAGCCGCGCGTGACAGCCGTGACGACATTTATGCACGACTATCACGCAAGCACCTCAAGTATTACGATTTTACTTCGTTGTACCCCAGCGTTAATAAATATTGTCATTACCCTCTGGGTCATCCCGTCATACTGCACAATCGTCAGTGGAAACCGAAAGATTATGCATTCGCCACGTTTTTCGGGTTGGCACACGTACGCATCTTACCTCCGCAGAATCTCTACCACCCCGTGCTACCCTATCGCGTAGAGTGCGTGGATAAATTTTACAAGACTCTCTTCGTGTTGTGCAGGACTTGCGCTGTGGATTGCAATTTCGAGCTGAACAGCTGTAGACACACTCCTGACGAGAGGGCCCTATTGGGTGTGTCGTTCAACGAAGAAATAAAATTGGCAATAGAAAAGGGTTACACCGTTCTCAACATCTTTGAAGTGTGGCATTATGGCAACAAAAGCACCAATCTATTCGCAAACTACATTAAGCAATTTCAAAAGGGCAAGCAAGAAGCTGCGGGCTGGCCATCCGATTGTGTCACCCAGGAACAGAAGGACGCTTACATTAAAGAGTACGCCGAAGCAGAGGGCGTTCAATTGGACCCTCTTCGCATTGGTCCCGAAAGATATGCCACCATGTATGCCCTAAATAAGCTTTGCATGAATTCCTTTTGGCGTAAGTGGGCCGAATCGCAGGATCAGACTAACCATGCCATATTGCACGACCTTCAATCGTTTTACAAACATCTCGGAGATCCAAACGTAAAAGAATTCAAATTCACCTTTATTTCTGAAGGCGCCATGTACTTGGAGTTTAAGCATCCTTCCTACAGGCTGGGTTTCACACACAAGGGAAACCCCGTGCACGCTGTCATGACGACGGCATGGGCCAGGATTCGTCTGTACAGGGAGCTGTTGGACACCCTGAAAGAAGATGTGTTGTACTCAGACACCGATTCTGCGCTTTTCAAGGTGGATATGGATAATCCTAATCAATATCACCCACCCACTGGCAGAACAGGTCAGGCGTTAGTAAGAGATCCAAAGGTCTATAGTTTGAAATGCGACAATCTTAATGCTTCAGAGGGATTTAAGTCCAATCCTTGTGTAACAACATTGAAGGAATGGTGGACAAAAGAGCTTGGAACTGACCAGGTAAAAGTCTCCGAGACAATAAGTACTAGTAGAAAGAGTTTATTAGAAGAACTAGGTGGTTCATCAGCGTCTGAAGACGAAACACATAGTAAGTTGCAAAAATCAGATCTAGGAAAAAAGCGAAAGGCAGATAAGCTCAGCACTGGTAAAAGTAGTACTGCAGTTTCGAACTTAGATGAATCTCCAAGCACTTCAGTTTTAAGAGCATCAAAGAAGCAGAAACCAAGTAGCACTTCTGTTGAAAAACAAAGTGGAAAATCTTCTCCAGAATTTGAATCTAGTAAGAGGTCAGAAACTACTTCAAAAGTGCAAAAGTGGAAAGTTCCAGGTCCTTTGTCTAGTGATGAAGATGACACGGTAACATATAAATCAAAACAGCCTGAAGTACAGAAAAAATCAGTCAAAGATAAAAAGACCAAACGGAAGCGTAAAGAGTAACACTTCTGCTTGTTTGGCAGCAGGTGAAATGCTCTCCTGGTATTCTTGCTTTTCATATGACGTCATCGATTTACTGTCCGCCATCTTTGAGTACAGGTAGCTCATTTGCATATGTGAACTCGCCTCACGTGCTTAGTATTTTG